CGGGAGGAAGGGGGGGGGGGGGGGGGGTTCTGTCATTGGTGACGGGGGTGGAACGTTTGAGAGTGTAACGTGGTGCGCAATCTACTTGCCCGCTGCTTGTAAGTGGCCGACTGCTCATTTGTGTAATATTTTCCCCGCCTACACACAGCAAGTGTGCGCGGGACAATGCCAGTTGCTCGGACACCCAGGATGTTCCACCGCAGTTCATGGGCATACATATTGCAGCACGAGAGAAAAAGCACGAGGCGGGTGACTGATACGAGGGAGAACGTCGAGAACCTGGGGCGTTATGATCCAGCCTAACCCTTGCATCCACGAAAGAGTACACCGGCGACCACAGCACGCCACCTCCTGTCGAGACTGAACGTCTCTCAATACAAAAACGGTACAAAAATTCAAAAACTCAAACAGAGACTGCTGTAGAGCTGCTGTACCTCGCGTCCCCTGCCCTTGTACTGACACTTTTGAGGGAAGTCCTTGTAGATCTGCCACAACCCTTTCTCCTTGACCAAGTGGTTCTCCGAGAAAGCGGGCGGCCTGTTTGAGACCTTCTTTGCAGTGGTGGCCTCTTCTGGCGCCGCCACCCCCGTCGAATCCCGCCCAGGCTCGCTCCCGTTGTTAGCGCCGGCCGCATCGGTTCGCTCCATGCCGCTGTCTTCATCGCTTCCGTCTGCGACGCCAATGGGTCGAGGCCGGCGCTCTTCCTCAGACTCGGACATCCTAGTTCCTTTCTCTACCCTAGCTGCCTGTCCTCCTTCTCGCTCTCTCTCTTGTATTGTCTCCCAAAAGCGCTGTGCTGTGTTTTCCGAATGTGCAGGAATTTGAATTTCAGATTTTGGCCCCCGCCGATGGATAGATGAACCCCGTATACCCCCAAAGTACTATTCGCAGACCCCCATCTGGTGCTGCTGTGTGTGCGCGCGGCACTGCTGCTCCGCTGCGCTGCCGATATCATCGCTGCTACGGAGAAGCTAACACCATGTTTGGGAACTCTGGGTAAGAGATGTTGGAGGTGGCTCTCGCTAGAGCTTACTGCTGTTGATATTTCGCTCGCTTTCGTGAACAACCAACAATCATTTGGCGTCACCAATGGCTGATCCGCTGGTGGTCTCTCTCCCCCTGGATCATAGCCTACAGCGAGTGGTGTTCGCTCTAACGCACGCCGTCCCTCATGTATCCAGCCCCCGCGTATCGGTCTTGCACGCTGCGGCGTAGGTCCTATCTAGATTGTGCGGTTTTTCTGTTTGCATCACTGATTAGGGCTATGGCGCCAGGACGCTTTTCCAGCGAGCCGGTTCCCGCCGCCATTGTCACCGTTGACCTCGAGTCGGTGTGTAGTAACATCAGTCAGGGTACTTGCCCTCCTTTGGATCACGGTTTACACATCATGCTAACTTGTGTGCACGGGGACGGATTCGCTTTGTAAACTTAGAATTCTACCGCGGTGCTGCGTGTGTAGTGCGAGAATCTGTAGCAGATAGGAGACGACAACCCGCATTCTCACACACGACTCCCAACCAATCCCCCGCCCTTTCGGCGCGAACATGCGCGTGGACACGCACAGGGGAGACGTTGGGTACGGGACCCAGCAGCAGGGATATCAAACGCGGAGCCGAGAAAGAGGTGAATAGTCTCACCACTACCGGTGGACTTTGAGATAACGGAAAAGTCAACCTGCGTATCTAGCAAACAGAACTATGCAATAATTATAATACGTACAGCGTGATATCGTCATGAAATCAAAATGCTGCTGTGGGTACGAAAGACTCTTTTCTATGATAGAGATGGTTTCGTGGTGTCATATTAAGAAAAATAATAAAAAAAAAAGTATGCATACAGGAGACGGCCCAACAACCCTCGGTTGGTCCCGCACCGTAGGCTGTGCGGCTGTTCATGATTTACGAACAAACTCGTGACATGCCTGCAAAGCGCGGTGTAGTACAGGCTAGTGCACCACTCTTAGGCCGGTTTTCTCAACGATACCTGATGGTTTTTCTTTCACCGCCATCCGCGAATACTCGCGAGAAAGAAATTCATGCTGCGAAAAAGTACTTGCTGCATTCATAAGAGCAAGTACCCGTACACAACAACTTGTTCGATCGATGAAGCTTTTGCTGTGGTGTAGATCGAAGGTGACGCCACGTGCCACATGTCCAGCTTCATGCCATGATCCTATCAGGCTGTCCTCCGCGTTGGAGGACTGCGAACGCACACAGAGACTGGTTCTTTTTGCAGGCCTTTCAGAGAAAGTCAGCAATGCCGTGTGCCTGCCGTCGATTTTTCAGCACTATCAGGCAACGGATGTCCTTCCAAACCGCTCCTTCACCAGCTCGCGATCGAAGTACGAAAAGCGTAGGAAGTAGAGGCTAGAGGTCCTTCGCGATCTGTAGTTTGTGGTTTTCGATGGACGGGTTGCGCACGAACGTGCGTCCTTGACGAGCCCTCCCCGTGCCCGGTGGATTGGTTCGAAGCGATGACCAACTGTGTAGGCACCGCATTTCTGCAGCGGCGTGGGAAGGTTGGCCTTGAGGGCAACGGCTTTGTATCGTCTGCACATACGTAGAACTCACCGCATCGTCGACGTTCTTGAGCAATTACGAAGTTAAAGCTTGGTGCATTTATTCACAGCGTCACTCATTTCCACGGGGTAGCCGTCGTGTTGAGGTAACCAAAACGCCTTGAACAGCGCTGGGACGCGTCCCGCCTCTGCCTCGATGTGCCAACTCCAGGTCGTGACGGGCCGCCGGAGGGGCAAGTGGTCGAAGGTGACCTTTTCGGGAACCCAAAAGTGAGCGTTGTCGTAGTTGAGACAGCAAATGATACCTGTGTGCAGGGTAACTCGCTCGTGCACGACACCAACAAGGCGGGCTTCTCGAGCCCCCGTTTCGGGAATAGTCGTCGTAGGAGGAACCTTATGGGCGCAAACATGTTTCTGTTCCCCTTTGGTTGGGAGCGCGCAGTAGTGTCTCCAAACGCGACCCTGCGTTGTTGCTGTCTTCTGGGTGCCCCGGTTCGACACGTACCACGAAAGCATTTGGCTGCTTGTTGTCAACGCTGAGGTCCACCTCAAGTGAATGACCTTGAGGCCATAAAACAAAAGCGTTTTGACCGCCCTGCGGTGCACGCGGGCACGTGTATATGCTGACGCCCAAAGCGCCCGTCCTGCTGCCCCCTGCCACGATATCAGCGCCAAAGCTTCCGCTCGACGGACCCACCCACCGGAGCACCCCCTCGAGGGGCGTTCCACGACGCCACTGCCGGCGGCGGCGGCGGCGGTGGCGGGAACGCCTTCAGGAACGGCGGCGCCGGGGCCGGGGGATGCGGTCAGACCCCCGCGGCGGCACAGCCGTCGCCCTTTGCGCGCGGGCCGATGAACGATTCCTTTTCCGCAGCCGGCGGCGGGAGTGCTCCGGGCCCTGGCTACGGCGCCGGGGGGTACAGCAATCCCGGTCAGACCGCGCAGCAGCAGCAGCAGCAGCACGGCTTCGGAGCTAGGGTGGGGTTCAGCAGCGAGGTGGCTCTCGTGCCCGTCGAAGCCAGCGGCAACAGCCGCGGGCGGAATGTGATGGACGACGACGACGACGACGATATTCCCACTCGCTCCTTGGCAGACGACCCCGACGATGTCCGCGACGGCGGCGTTTTGTTCGGAGGGGGGGAGGGGCTCAGGAGTAGGCGCGGGGGCGGGGGCGGGGGCGGGGGCGGCGGCGTCGACCGGATGGGTGGCGGCGGCGGGATTGGCAGTTTCAACGCGGCGCCTGACACACAGAGGGCGACCTGGGTCGTGGTGTGGGGCGTACCACCCGGCAAGTCGAACCAAGTCCTCATCCGCTTCCTGCAGTTCGGCGACGTTGTGGAGCAACGGGGGCAGCCGGGCAGCAACTGGCTCTACTTCAAGTGAGTGCCTGCGCACTCTTTTTGGCCCCGCATGGCGTGCAGTCTCACGCACTACCAGTGGAGGTCGTATAGATGCGCGGAACAGGCGTAGCTTGGGGGGCGCGAGATAGGGTCGCCGGGCACGCCCAAAGGTGTCTCGCGCGCAGTGATGTGTATGGCCGATCGGTGTGCTGTCTCTACTGCCCGCTACCACGTGTGACCTCTTCCGTGTTATGCCTGCGTGCAGCGTCCGTCCCCTCCAGGCCTTTGAACCTGAGAGCCCCCCTCGACCTCCCTGGATTGCGTTTGTCTGTGTCGAACTGAACGTTTTTTTCTTGCGAGACAGGTACGCCACGAGACTGCAGGCAGAGAAGGCGCTCGCCGCGGGGCACGGGTCGCGCTTGACGGACACCGTCATGCTTGGCGTGCAAAGAGTACCCGACGACGAGGTACACGCGGGTGGTAACCTAACCTAACCTTCGGTAGCAATGTGCACGTACAGGAACCTTTCCGCAGCCCACCCACTCTCCCGAGGAGTGCGACTCCCGATGAAGCACTGCTGATGTACTCCTATTGTGTCAAGCTTTGGCTCGAGTTAGATGTCCCCCTCCGACAACAGCGCGTGTGCATAGCCCGGGGGATTCTTGTTTTATGCAGAAGATCCTATCACCCCGTACATGTTACCATCAAAACACTACCCTCCTGAGACGGTGACGCCTGTCGAAAATTGTTACAATGTATGCAGCAGAGTTCATGGAGTTCATCATCCCTGAGATAGCGTCTCCCATCATCCACTTTGTATTTCTAGGTTAATTTTGTCTTAGCTTTCCGGGGCGGAGGACTGGTTGCTTCTCGGCTGCCGTACCGGTTTTCCCCGGTGTTGTAGGCAAGTTGCCATATGCTCAGCGACGCTGCGTCCACGTCGCAAGGGCACCACTGCTGCTGCACGGTTCAGTTTTTGGGGTGGTTTGTGACCACCTGAGTTCTGTTCCGGGATGTGATATGGAGCTCATAGACACCCCTCTTTGGGGGGGGGCGTACTCTTATGTTTTGCATGCCTTAGCGGTTAAACCATTGACCACGCGTCCTCGAGGACGGAGCATTGTTCCCACAGAACCGATCACCGATGGCCAATCGTTCCTTCCTACTTTGCCAAAGGTGGCTCAAATATGTCTTCCCTAGTTTGTCTTTCCTAACGATATCCCTTCCCGCCTTTTCAAACCACTTCCTACTCCCCAGTACAGCTACCGTCCTCTCCTCTCTATTCCATGCCTCAAACATCTCCCTGTACGTCCCTTGTATTTTTCCCAGCTCAGTCATGTACACTTCCCTCTCCTCTTCGTACCACGGACATTCCGCGACTACATGAACACGGTCTTCGCATTCGAAGCCGCAATCACATTTGAACTTGCCGTCTTCGTCGTCTACCGTCCTATGTCTTCGTCGACGTTCTCGAAGGCTTATGTCCCCGGTCCTGAGTTTGACCTTAAGCTTTGCCCCTGCCTCCATTGGTCCATGTAGGTAGTCCTTGAAC